ATCTCGGTCGTTGCCACCGACAGCCTCCCTAAAGCATCCTTTATAGTCAGGAGAACACGTAACCCCCTAACCCAACTCCGAACCCTAAGAGAGGGAGAAGGAGAAGGACCCACCTTGCCGCTATTGGTAACCATTGAAACTTGAGCGCATGAATTGAAGCAGAAGAAGAGAGATGATGCACAAGTAAGAAGAAGCGTTGCTTGGGTTCAGAGGGGATAAGGCTAGGAGCAGATAAGGTTGGGAGCTTCACTGTTGGATATTCCCCCTGATCATCGGATGGATAGCGCAACGCACACACGAGGCTTCTCCGCGTGCACACTCTAAAAGAAGCATCTCCTAATTTTTATATAAAGTTTGTCTTTATCTTATTCCATTTGAAGTTAAAATTTCTAAAACAAACTAAGATTCAAACTACTCCCTCCGGCCATAAGATAATGTAATTATGGGATCCTTGCCGGTCAAACTAACTCAAGTTTGACCAAGTTTATAGTAAATATTATTAACATTTATGTCTCTAGATAAATTTATTATGAAAATATATCTATAACTATTCTAATGGTACTTAATTTGTATCATAGATGTTAGTACTTTTTTATATAAATCTAATCAAAGTTGAAACTGTTTGACTCCTAAAAAAATAAGAATTGCATTCTCCTGTGAACAGAGGAAGTACAAAATAAGGCAACAAAATTACTTTTGCTAGCTCATCAACAGAAGGATAGAAAGTACACGTGTTGCTAGGGGAAGGCTCTTGTTTTTTTTATCAGGGCAAGTGCATTGGTAATTTCTCATAGGTAGTCCCATGCAGTGCCACATAATTATGAGACGACTTAAGAGGTAACAAGTACAATAGATTGTCTTTTAAGTTGTCTCGTAGTAATTCTAGAGTCCGAAATGGATACAACAATGAAATATTTGTGAGTTGCATGACAACAACCACTTGTACAATGGTGTGTAAGTTGTCTCATAGTCCTAAATTTTAGCTCATGAGTTGGTTGTTACGCGAAACAACGACATCTCTCTCCCCTCTCTTTTCTCCACATCAGCAAAAATCCTACGTGGACACTACATGAGACGGGTATGAGACTGCTGACGTGTAGCAATTTAATTGCCCTAATATTTGATCCTACTTTTATGGAAACCAAGCTATATCCTATAATATATGCGCATTCTTTTTTGTGTCGGCAACCTAATATTCCTGGTTTCACCTGAGGCCGTGATCAGAGTCAAGATAGCAACGGTAACATATCCTATCCTTATTCTAGAAACTGAACACATCTCTGCCAGTGGTACTATTGAAAAAACAATGCATTCCGTTAGATCCGACTTAGAGCCTGCTTGAGCCTGCTTGGTTCTGGCCACGGTTGGCCACGCCACGGTGTGGCGGTGGCAGCCAGAAAGTGCGCCACACTCCTCGCCACAGTTATCACGCGCTAGACGACGAGCAGCAGGAGCAAACGACAAGTTAAAAATCTGTGGCGGCCAATGCTTCAGTGAGAACGCTTTGTGCTGTGCTGCTGTTACTGAAACTTTAGATAGTTTAATTAGAGGAGAAAAAGAATTGCATTAAACCCAGTCACATGAAAAGCTTGACAAAAGATACCATTGTATTGGATATCAACCACCGTTGGTGTGCTGTAAGATCGACAGTGACAGGCTGACAGCTTTCACGTTCGTGCACTGTCCTTTCCAAAAAGGTACAACAATTTTATCCTCTTCGGCTGCATATTATCGAAGACAATGAAAGTAGTTTACTGGTGAGGTAATTGAAAGCATCTTCTGCGGTCTGCGCTATTGGAGTACGGTGGTAGAGCAATTTATCGTGTGTTTAGTTTTAGAACAGCCAGCAGGATTATACAAACTACGAAGCCCGTGTGTGCCCTGAAAAGGAAATGGCAAAGCACTGTACATGTTGACGAAATGTTTGTCCACTAAGGCTTATTTGATGTATGTGTATCCACCTCAATCCACGTGTGTTGAAATAGAATGGAATGAAATTTAGTTCAATTCACTCCAATCCACTTCAGCACATGTGGATTGCAATGAATATATGTGCATCCAAACAAGACCTAAACAATCATGGATGCTTATATATAATCAAACAATCATTAGAAACACAAACAATAATGCAAAATTATGTTGCACCTTTATATTTCTTCGAATTCATTTAGGTCCATCATTCGTCTTCATTGCAGGTCCTACTATTTCAAATCACTTACATAAGACTGGCTACAACAGATTTTATTTATAACATGCTTTGGATATGAAACTTTAGATATTCTGGGAAGCTTTCCGTGGCTCTGGCTTTTTCACAAGAATTTCGGATAAAAAGAAGGCACAACAACAATACCCGAATGTGCATCTCGATAGAGTGATAGACCTTTTTTTTCCTTTCTTTGCCGGGGTACAACAAACCAACTTTGCACTACCACTCAAATAAGATTCATTTGAATCTCCTATAGGAAACGAGAATGAGATCCAAACCTTTGAATTCTAAAAGGAGAATCTAAAATCCAACCATCTACCACAAACCTCCTACTTGGAGACTTTTAGGGCCTGATTGGTTAGGTCCAAAATTTGCCCAGCTAAATTTAGGGCAAGCCAAAAACAATGGCATGTCAAATTCTAGCTGCCAAAACCTAGGCAAGAAGTTTAGTATGGGGCTGCCCTAATTTTGGATGGGCTGATTTTGGAGCCCAACCAAATGGCTGTCTAAGTTTTGGGACTGCCCTAGTTTTGGCTGGATAAATTTTGGAGCCCAACCAATTAGATCCTTACTATGCAAAGATAATATTTTTTTGAGAAATCTGGAGGGGCCTGGACCCCTACAGTGATTTATTAAACTGAAAAACCAGTACAAAAGTCTAAGGACATGTCCAAGAGTTTCTAAAAATTTCTTCGAGCTTTTCTAATTCACCAAAAATTATTGAAAGGAATAAGTAAGACTATCTCCAACTAGTTTTCAATAATTTACTCCTAAAATATAGAAGACGATTTTACATCGGCAATCCTATACTATTTCTAAATTATCCTAACTACTTTTATATATTCTTTCTCTCTTATATATTTGCATCAGGAACCCTCCTACCACCTTTAGATTGGTAGATGGATACGCGCGAATATATCCGCGTGATCGGTCTATTTTTCCGAGCGCCGAAAGATTGGGAGGTGGGATTGGAAACGGTTGGAGATGGTTTTTTTCCCCATTTTTGTCAAATATTCTAAATCGGGAGGCTTTATTGGGAACTCTCGGAGATGCTCCGAAAGATTACGAAACGGCTAAAGCTACAGAAATAAAGTAGAGGAAAACTTAAGAAACAAAGAAAGAAATTAAAAAGATACCGACTTCAGTTTGTAGGAGAGAAGTGTCAATTCCTTGAAGAGGAATCTTCGACAATCCTGCAAATCGAATCTTATTCCTTTGAAAATGAGGTCGTTTCTAGCTGTTCAGGTTGTCCAACGCATGAGGATTATTGCCTCCACGAAGAACTGTGATTGTAATTGAGCAAAGATGTGGCTTCTGGTAAATTGCAGTCCACTGAAACATCAAGGTTGATGATATCCCAGCACATTCTTGCAAAGTGATATGCTAGGAAAAGATGCTGTGAGGATTCTTCTACTAGCAGGTTGCAAAGCGCATAGTTAGACGAGTCCAAGTGCATTTGGCGGCCAAAACTGCAGGCCACGACCCCAACCCGAGAAGCAGGCAAAGAAGGTCCTGTTGAACAAGTGGAAGCCTCGAGCCCCGTGGTCTGCCCAGGTCACGCCAGATGCCGCCATCGCCAAGAAGTTCCGGGAGACCTTTGCCGAGCCACTCTCCTCAGCAAAGCGTGCCGCCATGAGTGAGCTGTTCCCGGAGCCCAAGAGACGGAGTCCCGCCGCAGTGTCGGCATCCCATTGAGCACGGAATGCTCACCGTCGCAACAGTGTCCCAATGAAAACAAACAATGTCTTGGTGTGGAACGCCGGCGGGCTCAATAGCCGGGCGCGTCGCAATGTCGTGAGGGACATCGTCATCAAGGAGCAGAGCAGGATTGCCTTGCGTAGAGTCTCGTCGCAAATCGTTTTTCTGTAAATTACAACCTCTTGCGAGCTCTGGGGTGCGGTGGTGTCGGGGGGCGGACGTTCATCAACGGCAGCTCGCCATTGATGTTCTGCTAGCCGTTTTGTATACTCTATCTTCTTAATGAAATACGTGTGAAGCACGTTCTAGAAAAAATGAGTCCAAGACTCCAAGTGCATGTTTTTTACTTCTTAAGAGATTCCTAGTACTTAGCTGGTATTTGATAAACAACAAGAAGAAGACCTTGTGTTTGGACAGATAGTAATTCTTCCACAACCATTTGAAGGTAAGATCAACCTCTGAATGACCAACCAAAATCTTGTAGGTTTTGGATGAAGAGAAGACGTTGGATCCCCAAGTGATGTTTCTAATTTTTTATGAGAACTTTTAATTATTTCGTAGCATATTTGGTGAGAATTAGCAGAGTCTCTAGTTAGTAATAGTACGGTGTACTTGTATTTGAAACAGAGGGGCATGCCAATGCTTATTGCTAAACGATTTATACTCCCAAAACATAAGCAGTTCAGCCCATTCCAGCGTGCATCGCCAAGCCATTTTGCATGGCGCCAAAGCAGCTGAGCAGGACGTGATCAACAGAAGATAAAGACGATAATAACCTATATATGACCATGTGGTCATTTGGACAGTTCGGTAAGCATTGCAAGCAGCAAAGGGGCAGGCAAAAGCAGCAACAGAACTCGTAGGGATCTCTAAATGACAGGGCACTTCCCAAGGCAATGGAATGAAGCACTGGCTAAGCCATCCACGAAGGAGGGTAGCAGCCGCCCGGCTCTGGCACTGGCTGCTGGTTCATGTCCATCGTATGGTATCTGCATAAACGGAAGTAGTGCAGGATTCAGGACAGAGAGACAACTTTGTGTGTGTGACTGTGTATGAGAGAGAGAGAGAGAGAGAGAGAGAGAGAGAGAGAGAGAGATTACGTAGGCTGCAGAGATGGGTTGCTCTCCAGAGCCAGGAAGAAGTGTTCTGGCTGTGGAGGGTCATGAGACAACATGCCGCCTCCACCTTGCCACGCTACCTGCGGGGGAGAAGCAGCCTCTGCCTCAAACTCGTCCAGCTGAAATAAATAGTGGCCCAACAATAAACGATCCGGCAAAAAAGCAAAGGAGAGTTGGAATGTTGCAAGCAGAGGCTGCAGCTATGAACTGCATATACACATGGCATCCTTGGTTCAGGCGCTCAGCTTCAAAGTTGTGGTGGCAAATGCAGAGGTAGCTGAAGGGCCATTGTTTATATGAGCTACTACTGCCAGTGCCAACCGTGGGTGCTACGAGTTTTCCAGTTCAACTGTCACTTACCTTCCTTTTCAGAACCCTGTTTGCATCTTGCAGCATTTGTTCCTGCAGGAGATGAGGGCCGGATGCTCAGTCATATATTGGATTTCAGTATTGAAACAGAGAGTCATAGTAGCATTGCTGCGGCGATATTACCTTTCTCTTTAAGTCGCAAAGTTCATCAAGTAACACTTGAGTCTGCCAAATGCAAATGAAGACATGCATAGAGAGTTACTTGGATAGCAACATGGTGGGGGCATTCCAAATTTCAGGTGAATTGAAAGTAGCATAAATCAACATTAAGACAATCTATCTACGTTTTAAATACCGGTTAAATGTCTTCTCAATTGTATACACCTCAACTTTTTTATTTCTACATTTTCAAATTTTAACTATTATGAAAGTAGCACAAATCAGCATTTATAATCCTATCTTTTTTTTTGAAATCCGCATCCTGTTTTTTCAAGTGAGACTCATCTAGTAATTAATTGAATGAATAATCAATGCAAGTCCAATTGCACTATAAATGTATTGGTTCAGATATAAGGTAGGAAAGTGCCAATAAGGCATGCATTATAAAAGTTTGTTCACTATAATTCTGTTGTGCGCAAAATACCATTGACATCATTCATCCTTAGTTTACCTTTCTTGATCTTATTTGCTTCAAGGTCTTGTCTACTTGACTCTCAAGCTGGTCAAGTTCACTAGGACTAAGTGGAGCCAGATCTTCACCAAGAAGATTCCTGCAGTGGGTTCACCAGTACTTTCTTTACCAAAACAAAGCAAATACTGGAGTAGAACCACACAGAGGAAAAATAGGAACGAACTTATTATATGGAAATATCACAACCTTTGTGAGTGTTGTAAAACCTCAACTCGTGCCTTCAGCTTCACATATTCTTGATAGTTATTCTGCATTTTCAGACATCAGACATTGGATCGAAATATCCCAAAACTGTCCATACTGTCCGCAGCTAAACTATCTAGAGGTGATATTTAAAACATGCATATTATTTAAACATGTCTACTCTCTTTAATTTATACTCGTCCTTTCAGCCCAAATTTTTTTTACCATGATCCTTTTATTATATTATAGCGAACATAATGAGAACATATACATGAGAAATATAAGGGGCCCTTTGGATTGCAGGATTTTTTTTCTTGTTTCCTGCATTCTTCCTATTAAAATAAACTGATCCGTGTGAAATTTCTGCATTCCAAAGGTGCCCTAATAGTTTTTGTTGTGCACTATTGATGATAAAATCTTTTTTAATAAAAATAGTGGTCAGTGTATTAACAGATGGATCGCATGTACTCTATAATGATGATGTTTACTTGTATATAAATGCACCATCTGTAATATTACCATTAAAAGATGTAGACGTTATTAATCTAGTACCATATACTGTTCTTAGTTAAATCCATACAGTAAAATAGCTGTATGTAGAAATTTATCTTACTACTAATAGATCATAAAACAAGCACTATGAGTCTAACAATTGCATGTTACTATGACGGGGCCTATGGTAGCTGCACAGCATTGGCCATCTATATTGGAAAAGTATTTTGAAAATTGATACAAGATTACCATAGTTTTTTTTATTTAATTTCTTAAAATAATAAATTTCTCCCTGCGTTACTTCATGCAGATATATCCAGCCAGGTTATTATTGGCCATGCACTCGCTGGATTCTTCATTGGATTTGCAACTAGCCAAACTACTGAATAATTTAAAGTACTGTTAACGTGGACAACATGGATGAAGAAACATTCCACGAAATTGTTTGTGATGAGCTGGAACACTCGATCAAGTACTGCTACCATGATAGGGTAGCATACAACTGATGAACTAGGCCAATGCACCTCACACTTGATGACTGATACAGTACATTCTCTCTTTTTTCTTCAATTGCTATATCAAGTATTGCAATTTGTTTCAATGTTTCTCATTGTTCGTCCTTATTTTTGTGAGGATATTGTTCTAGACCTGCCGTCCAAAATCCAAACAAACTGAAACTACTCAGATTTAGCAACTATAGACAGAAATTTTCATGACTGTCAATTGATAGATCATCAGTGCACTGGTTGATCTTCAAGAAGACTCTTATGCATTAAAACAACAGCAGCTTTCTAGCGCATTTGACTTTGTGCCATCCTAAGGATTGGAGCAAAAAGTGTCCAAACTAACACTAGCTCTTGTACAACCAAATTAAATAAGTTGAGAGCTAGGGTTTTCACTAGTGCTTAGTTTTATACTGAATCTATTTTCATGGAAATCATTGCTTCAGAAATGAAATATTGAAATAGAAATGCACTAGTTGATGATAAAGTGTTTTCATGAGAAATGAATGATAAATAATAAGAATAATAATAAACGTATAGTTTTCTTATTATGAAAGGTACTATTTGTCGGTAACAATTGATCATGTTTAAAGTGTTTCAGAACTTGAACAATGTTAGTAAAAGCAGGTAGTTATGAGAGGGACACATGATATAAAAGTAGTATCAGCTATAAATGTTGCAATAGTAGTAAAATGGATAGTCCTCACACCTGCATCTCATCACTAGATGGCACTGCAGCATCAGCTGAAGCATAGATGTACCTCTGGTACCGCTCTAGAGTCTTAAGCAGACTGATATTAAGGCAATAAAATAATGAATAAGTGATGCATTCATATATAAATATGTACATATAGAAACAAATAAAGAGACTAGAAACCATACCAGCTAGACAATGCTGGAAAACATTATTTCTACATATTCATTATGCCTTTCTAGTTAAACAATTTGATTATTTTGCCTCTTCATTTGATTGGAGGTTAGGCGCTTCCAAGAGTTGATTCAAAGGAATTTGAATTAAACATCAGCGACACTCATCATACACTTCTGGAACTTATCATTCGAGCAAGTTAAAGGTCTATTAATAAATTTCTATGTACAATTTATAAGCTTCTCTCAGTTTAAGGCATGGCTTGGCATTGTAGGTCAGAGCCTTGATCCAGTCAAAGTTCTTTGGATCCTCTAGACGACTGTTGATTATATAAGACTAGAGAAGGCCAGTGAAGTTATATGATTTGGAGCTTGAACGATGTATGGATTAGACTACTATATATATGGAGATTGTTTTAAACTTTTATAAAACAAGGTATTAATTTCAAGAAAAATATAGGTAAAAGAAAATCTGAGCACTAATATGGAAATTGAAGCCTCTGGTAACAAACCAAGTATGGTTCTATTGTTCATGTAGCACACCATACGCAACCTCACTAGTTTCCTGGAGATTCTTGGGTAGAGTCTTGTCCACCCACTTTTGTTCTTAACTGAAAGGCAAAGCTCGTACACTTTGTTCAAAAATAGGTAACAATTATTTTCCTAGGATATGGTACCAGAAGCAATCTTCTTAATAAGACATGTTATGGAGTGGTTTAGAGAGCAGAAGAAGGACCTCCACTTGGTTTTCATTGACTTGGAGAAGGCTTATGACAAGATACCAAGAAATGTTATATGGTGGTCTTTGAACAAACATAAGGTCCCATCAAAGTACGTGACCCTCATCAAGGACATGTACAACAATGTTGTGACTAGTGTTCGAACAAACGATGGTAACACAAATTACTTCCCGATTAAAATTGGACTTCATCAAGGGTCAGTCTTAAGCCCGTATCTCATTGCCTTGGTAATAGATGAGTTTACCAGGAACATACAAGGGGATATCCCTTGGTGTATGTTGTTTGCTGATGATGCAGTGTTAGTGGATGAAAGCCAGGCAGAAATAAATAGGAAAACTAGAGTTATGGGGGTAGACCTTTGAGTCTAAAGGTTTTAGATTAAGCAGAACTAAAACCGAATACATGAGATGCGACTTTGGCGGAGTTGTACAGGAGGAGGGAGATGTGAGTTTGAAAGGTCAAGTAGTGCCTAAGAAGAATACTGTCGGTGCAAAAAGTGACCAACTAGTAAATATTTGTCGTTTTACCGTACGTTGTGATTGGATGTGGCCTAGCACTCGATGACACAGGGTTTATACTGGTTCAGGCAACGTGCCCTATATCCAGTGTGAGTCGGTCGGTGACTTTATTTCTGAGCCCAGGTGCTCGAAGTTTGCTGTGAGGTTACAAACAAGAGGGAGTAAGATGGGGGGTATCAGAGGTCCGGTCGGACTCTGGACTGAATGGCCAAGACTGACGGGAACTCCTACGTGCGCTAAGTATTGGAACGTATGCTCTGTGTAGCTTTAGAATGTCTAAAGCTAGCAGAGAGTGAGTCGGAATAATCCGTGTGTTGTCTGTTGTTCGTCGAATCGATCCTCCTCTTTTGGAAGAGGGCGCATCCCTTTTTATAAATGAAGGGGACGACTTTACAAGTGAGAGAGAGGGACTGCGTGCTACCTAGTCTTGTTGCCCACGCCATTGGGTACGAGACGGTTTGTCGGCGCCTACAATACTGTTGGCGCCCTGATGCATGTGGTTGGTTCCATCGTGTTCTTTTGGTATGGCAAATGTCGACGCCTACCATACTGTAGGACAAATGTCGGCGCCCACAACACTATTTGTGTTCTGACATGTCTAGAAGGTTATAAAGTACCCTACTGACATGACCTGACAGTACTGTCCTGCAGTCGTGCAGGGTACGGTCCTCGGTATTGCGGTTGACTTGAGCGCTCCGCCTTACTTGCTCTGTCTGTTTCCTAGGGCTTCACCGAGCGGGCGTCCCCGGTCAGTCGTTCCCCAGTTGGCTTCGACCGCGCCGGTCGGAGAAGAGCTGTAATCAGAGGTTCGATGTATTCCTGGTCGGAGAAGCGGGTCGGAGTCGGAAGCGAGCGTCGCCCTCCCTAGGCAGGCCTTCTGGTCGGAGAAGCGGGACAGAGTCGGAAGCGAGCACCGTCCCTTCTTGGCCAGACCTTCCGGTCAGAGAAGCGGGTCGGATTCAGAAGCGAGCGCCGTCCCTTCTTGGCCAGGCCTTCCGGTCGGAGAAGCGGGTCAGAGTCGGAAGCGAGCGTCGACCTCCCTGGCCTGGCCTTCCGATCAGAGAAGCGGGTCGGAGTCGGAAGTGATCACCGTCCCTTCTTGGCCAAGCCTCCCGGTCGGAGACTGGATCGCTCTTTCGGCCTGTCGTTAGGCACTTGGGCCGGCCCAGGAGTTGCGCGTCATTTGCAACGTCATCTGTTGGGCCGAGCTTTTGCTGGAAAGCTGGTCAATTAGGGATCCCGGGTTTATAAACCCGACAGGAGCCCCCGAGCCCTGGGCGATTCGGGTAGAATCGTCTGGGAGATTTTTCGTTTTGACAGCGGGTGTAGCACCCGAGCCCCCGGGCGATTCGGGTAGAATCGTCTGGAGGGTTTTTTGTTTTGTCAGCGGGGGAATTTTTTGTTTTGACAGCGGGTACGCGCGAGCGCACCCGCGGGTGTAGCCCTGAGCCTGCGTTCGACTGGTGAGTTGGTTGGAGGCTGAGCATCTTGGTACTCTTTCCTGGGGTCGCAGACTGCCGTTTGGGGTGTTTGCCCATGTTTGTACCGCCCGCGACCTGTGCGGTCGGTTGATTTTCCGAGTCGGTGTCGGGTGACCTGAGCCCCCGAGCCCCGTTGGGCTCGGTAGGGGTTGATCTAGTTTCATGCATTACCCCATCCACGGTTTCCATAACCGGAGGGGCTGAGCTAACATCGCTTGCCTCGATGGCTCGAGCGACGTGCTCGGTGAGCTCGCTAACGAGTACGTTCGAGTGGAATCTAGGTCTATCGTTCGTGACGGGGTCGGCATAGCCCTCATGTGGCATTCCACTGCTCCTTAACCCATGTCTCAGCTGAGAGCGAATAGGTCTCGGGAAATTATGATAGATTGATATGGGTACAGGGAGTACATTATATAGGCAAGGATCAGGATGGGTTTATAGAAACACCCAATCAATGGTGATCCTTGCCT